CATAAAGTAGATGAAAAAGTAACTTTGTGTCAAATCTAACATTATATCCCATACCAATCTCACAAATCCTGATAGTATAAATAATAGGCCATTCTCTAATTCACCAACACCACAACTCTTCACATTCCCACTTTTGTATTTCTCATTCAATCTTTTATTTCTTATTGAGCATCTAGCTCTCCATAACAATGGTGTCACCTTCTTTACATTTTACATACATACACACATACACACACACACACATATATATATATACACACATATATACATATATATATATATATATATATATAATAATTATAATAGAGGCTCAGATATTTTAATCCGGTTTTAAGTTTGAAGCAATATAAGAAACAAAATCGCCATGGCTGCATCAACGAGGGTTAATTCCGTTACGCCACGCCAAGATACGTTTGTTTTTTTCATGCCTCAAACATTAAAATCCTAAAAATTCACCATAACATATTTCAGTCCTTCCATATCATCACAGCCCTATATAAAGATATACATGTAATAATTATAATGGATGCTCAGATTTTTTTAATCCGGTTTTATGTTTGAAGCAATATAAGAAACAAAATCGCCATGGCTGCATCAACGGGGGTTAATTCCATTACGCCATGCCAAGATACGTTTGTTTTTTTTATGCCTCAAACATTAAAATCCTAAAAATTCACCATAACAGATTTCAATCCTTCCATATCATCACAGTCCTATATTTAGACACACTGCGATGTTGGGACCTGTATTACATTAATACGGAGTAATAATTATATATATAATATAATATATAAAATAAGTATATGTATATTAATTCTCTGGAACAACAAGGCGAGTGATATATATATATATATATATATATATATATATATATATATATATATATATATATATATTCATCTAACAGTACATAAAATAAGATTTGAGGCATGTTCAAAATATCATTTTTATATATTAAGATTTATATCAATAGGCCATAATTTAAAAAGTTCTTACAGTAACTCTGCAAATACTACTTTAAAAAATAAAAATAGGATTAACAAGTTTGGTGATTAAGAAGTAATTCTATAATTGAATACACACATGGTAAAAGGTTCATCATAATTATTACATGATGTTCTAATAAAGAATGTGTAAATTTACAAATATATGTATTTGTGTATTAAGTTTAAACATCTCGATAAGTACAATTTATATAGACTTAGGTTTTTCAAATTCGAATAAATTTTTGAATATATATATATATATATATATATATATATATATATATATATATATATATATATATATATATATATATATATATATATATATCCAAATATTATATATATAAATCGGATTATCTAAAGATGCGTTGTAACACATCTTAAAGAAAAAACATTAAATCAAAACGGACCCCAAGATCATCCAAAACAACAATTTCAAAAAAAAAAAGTAGAATCAACGAAAAGAATCGGCGCACATACAAATCAAATAGTTTAATAATCAGAAAATATTGGAGAGAGGGAGAGACATAGTTACGGATGGAGAGATGGCGACAAAGAGACGAAGACCAAGACGAAGGAGGAGAGAGGGGATCGTAGCGGCGGAAGAGCGGAAGTGAATGGTAGGGTTAGGAAGATTTGTTTTATATTAATGGATATTGGGCCGGGAAAGTAGTTTGGGCCGGTATATTAAGTTTGGCTCGGAGAACAAGTGGGCTAATGTCTGTGGATTATTACCATGCCCCTTCATGAGTTTTTATCCCGATTTAATTTTTTGGTGAACTATTTTTAGCATTTTACTAATGATTAAATGAAAAAATATTTTGTATATTAATTAAATAAAAAATATATCTTAAAAATTAAATTGGATGGATGAATTATATGAACATAATTTAGCCCTCAAACTAAAATTAAATTGCATGTGTACTATTCTCACAGTCAAACTTCAAAAACTTTCTTTTTTATTTGTTTTTTCAATTTGGTGTTATTCAAATAAAACAAATTAAAACCACATTAAATGGTTTTTTCCTATGATATTTTTCCTGACATGCATTTCACTAAATTCAAAATTGTAATTATAGAAAATTCATTATTTCTTTAATTTATTGTAAAGAGGAATTAGTTTATACAAATGTAGTTTATAAAGAAGTGTTTCAAAACTTATAACACTACTTTTCGACAATAATCCATGATATACAATACCTTTTTTGGGCAATAAAAATAAAATTTGTAATCTTTTTATTTTTTTCATTATATTTTATTCCAAACCAAGATTAAATATAAGTTATTTTACCGCTCGTGCATCGCACGGGTACGAGTCTAGTAAAATAATAAAGTAGAGATTGTTTTAAAAAATCTCGTGCACACGCTGCCTAAGACAGCTGAATTGACAGATTTTGAAAAGCCTAAAACGTTTTTTAAGGCAGACGCAGCAGCCCAAGGTGCTCACATTATTCAAGAAATTCTCTACTTATGAAAAGGATTTTTTGGGCCAGATGCAGCAGCCCACTCACGCAACCCAATCCAGATTGCAGCCCAATAACCGGCCAAGATGTTTTGGCGGGAACACTGTAGAAATTTGCCTCACCATTGTATAGATAAAGATTCCACCCCCTTTTAATTTGCCTTTATTTATTTTCTCTATGGAAGGCAACTTTGTAAGAATCGAAATGCTTTTATGTTTCAAAACTTTTTAAGAAAGTTTAAAAACGAATTTGCTCATTACAAATATTGTATTGCTGAGTTTATGTTAACTGTACTATGGTCCATAACACAAACACCTTTAATGATACTTTCTCCTACCTCAGAGAATATTTATCTAATTTTAACTTTTTAGAATCAATCAATCTCAATCTTTGACTTCTAATTAAATAAAATTATATGTTTTATAAATTAAATAAAATAAAACTTTGAAAATATCTGACAAAATAAATCTAATGAAAGTATTTTTATATCAATATTTGTTACATAATTTATTTAATTTATGATCAAAGTTTATTATTTTGACTGTATAAAATTAAAAGTGAACAAACACTCTAAGACGAAGGTGGTATGTCATAAAGAAAACCATTTGATCCAACTCTTATGTGATTCAGCCTTATTCATTTAAGTTTTTTTGTTTAAAGTACTATGATTTAATGTTTAATTTGAGATTATATTTACAAAATCCCATAATTTGATCATTAGCCCCACCCACTTTATCTAAATCGGTTGGGACAATACACAAAAATTATACACAAAAAAAAAACAAATACTAGTAGTTTTTTTAAGTTGGACTTGGACATTTTAGGTTTCAAGAACTGCTTCTTCCGTCCCAAATTATAATGATTTTTTACAGGTGCTTGCCACTACACGATCCATGAATATTGCAAGCGGCAAGCTCACATTTAACTGGCTTTTCTCATGTCCAATATGATAATGTGGTAGGGATTTATAAGATTCATAACCAAATCCAATACGGTTTGGAAGGGCACAATTGTGAAAACAAGCTTTTGGGCATGTGTTCATGTCTAACTTCATGAAAGGAAAACACAGTCGATGATCTAAATTGTGTGAAAAATGGAAATGAATTTGTTTAAGCCAAAATATGGCACGGCACCAAGGATTTTCAATATCCCCATTCACCATGAAACTCCAACAAATTCAAAAAAAAGCAAAGGGGTAAAGCATTACAAAGCACATATGCTGGAGAAACTTACCGCACTGGACGGATATTTAGAAGTGTCATTTCGTTTTTGCAGGCTCCGCTGCAGGCCTCCAAAGGCCGAGTCTGTATTTGTGCGTATACTTCAATATTAGCTTCCTCTGAAACATCAAAAGTGAAGTGTTAACAATAAGTCATGGAACAGTAGATGTGGTGGCCCTATAATCTTGAACAAAAAGATAATCTCCTAAGGTAACAATAACAATAGCATCATTTTGGTGGAGTTCTTGTACTTCTAGCTCTATAAAAGCTACTCCCTCTATCATATATCTTTTCCCGTTTTTCTTTTTGGTTCGTCCTATACTTTCTTTCCCTTTCCTTGAGACTATGTTTGGTTCAATGAATTTGAAAAGGGAAAGAAAATAAAATGATAACAGAGAGGAAAAGAAAAAAAAAGAGGAAGGAAAAAAATGAACTAAAAGGAAAACGGAAAACACAATTCCTTCCATTTTGGAGAGGAAAAGTAGAAAACTTTTTTCTTTTCTAATTCCTTGAACCAAACATAGTGTAAATGGATATACTATTCACCTTTTTTCAACTAAAAGCCTATTATACCCTTACTTTTGTATTATTCACTTTTTTTTTACATCTCTTCAATTTAGGACATAACCAAGGACAAAAATGGAATGTCAAATGTTTTTTCATCTTACATTAAAAGGCATGTCAAGTCAAAATGAGAACAAAGAGATGAGATGGAGGGAGTATAGCTTAAAATTGGTTTTGTTTCAATTGAGGTACCAAAAAATGTACTTATTTTGAAATCAGGAAAAAGTTCTATAGCTGTTTCAGAAGTCATTCCATAAATGATGATTGAGAACTTTTGGCACCATATGGCATCTTGGAATTAGAATGGGAACATAGACTAATAAACTCGGGAAGGTTTACTACATTCAAGCAATTTGCACATAAAAGTAGCCATGATATAAACAAAAATCTAAGAGCTCAAGTGATGTTTGGAAAGCTGTAACGGAATGCAATGTAATCAAATGCATGTGTATTGTACGGTTACACAATATAATTGATCATGAATAGTCTTTTGACAAATACAGAGCACTCCCTGTGTCCCAAAAGAGTACTCCAGTTTCAAGTTCCAAAACTGGAAACCTAGTTTGTATAATGTATTTCATAAAACGGAGTACATTTTTCAAGTAATCTGTCAAAAAAAAACTACATATACATTCAATATAATTTATTCATTTTAGCTAAAAAAATTATTTTTAAAACACTGCAGTTCCTTCGACACCTGTTATCCATGTCATATCATGACACCAAGCAATTTTGAAGGGCCTACTGAGTCCCAACCCCCTGCCCCTATCATCCCCCATCCCCATTTTAANCTCCAGTTTCAAGTTCCAAAACTGGAAACCTAGTTTGTATAATGTATTTCATAAAACGGAGTACATTTTTCAAGTAATCTGTCAAAAAAAAACTACATATACATTCAATATAATTTATTCATTTTAGCTAAAAAAATTATTTTTAAAACACTGCAGTTCCTTCGACACCTGTTATCCATGTCATATCATGACACCAAGCAATTTTGAAGGGCCTACTGAGTCCCAACCCCCTGCCCCTATCATCCCCCATCCCCATTTTAACAATGACCATCCCCTCTTCTGTGATCCCAATCAGCATCAGCTTCTACCCTCCCTACTGGACGACCAACCCACCCACCCCATTCCCCGACCTATCCCCTTGGTCCCGTGCCCAACGGGGCACCGTTGGATCCCAAAATCACCCAGTATCCCTCAATAAGAGCAGTTATAAAAGGGTCAGCTACTCGACTATTGTCTTCTACCAACTCTAGAAAGTGTCATTAGACGATTAAAACTACAAGCACCACATGGACATCCAAATTAAAGATGGAGAGACAATACAAACAAGTGCCTTCAACTAAATCAGAATGTCAGGAAAATTGTTGAATTAGGGTCCCGAGAAGACATTGCAAAGACACTTTTTTCATCACAGAAAGGAATTCAAGATCATATAACACAAAAATAAACTATGCAACATGTATAAAATGGAGAAGCATTGGTGTATACACTCACATGCTTTACGGGAACACCAAGACGCTTGAGCCTAAGCGTTCGAGTAACCAGAAGCTTGTTAAAATCTCCAATCTCAGACTCAAGCTTTTCCACGTGGGTCTCCACCCCTTTCCCCACTCCCTTCAAGAACTCCGGAATTCCTACCTTCACTGAAACATTTCGTATCATCAGTACGCTTCCAATTATCCCATATATTATGCATGCCAGAAATATAGGAGGGAAAGAAGAAATCTTTTTGTTACAAATCATACCCAAGTACTCATTAGATTTGGAAGAAAACTTAGCAAAGCTTCCACGGGATGATACTAAGGCAGTTGAAGGTATGGCATATCTTCTTGTGTTGAGAGAAAACAATTCCCGCCACGCCATGGAAACAAATCTCATGTGGCTTTATCTCTTCATCCAAAACCCGGTATAGTGTTTGTGTTCACAAGCCTCCTGATTTCAAGTGAAGCATAGCCAAAACCATCAATGTGTGGTAGACAACTATGTAGCACAAAAAAAGGGTGACAGTTGTTTCGATTGACACGGGAAGAAGTTCCATACTCCGAAAAAAGGGACAATGCATTAGGGGAAATGTGTACTACTGTACTTATAAGTTACAGTTTAGTTTCATCTGTCCCATTATTTTTGGGACATGAAAAAGTGGCATGGAAATTTAGAAGTTTTGAAAATTGTGTTGTTGAAATTGAATTGGTAATCTATATTACTAATTTTTTAATTCCTAATTTAAAAAAATAAATAATAATTATACTTATTATATATACAATTTAACACAGTAAAAGATACACGGCAAACATAAGACTCCAAACAGAGGCCAAAAAAACAACTATAACTATTCAAAGAAAAACACAAAAAGGGGAGGAGGGAAATTGGTAACTGCATATTGCAGCCATGATTTACCCCTGATGAGCAGATCCGAAATTTGAGAGATTCCGTTCATGCTCCAAACGAGATTTCTGGGTAATTATGGAATAATGACTGACGAGGAGGATCAGGAGAGTAAATTTTAAAGAAAACAATTAATTAAGGAAACCTGGAGGCAGCAGGGGCGTGGCACAGAAGACTGGAAGTAAGAAGCAGAGCCGCAAATGCAAAGTCCGGTGGGCGGCGGCGCGCTGGCAGGGCTGGGCGAAATCGTGCGACGCAGCGGCGATTGAACTATGGAAAGTTGGGCTATGTTTGGTTGGAAGTAGGTAAAAGTTTTAATAAGTAGGTAATGGTAGGTAATTGAAGGTAGGTGAAGTAAGGTGATGAGTTAAAAAATTGTGTTTGTATGTTTATTAGGTAACGTAAGGTAAGGAAAGAATAAAATTACTAAAATATCCTCGTGGTTGTTTTTCTTTATTTGTTTAGGATGTATTTATATGAAACTTACCTTTCACATTATATTCTTACTAGTGTTTACCCCGTGCTTTGCACGGGCTTTTATATTCGTACGTAAAATATATATACAAAATTATTTTTACATCAGTTGTAAACATTTTTTTAATTAATTTATTAGAATTTATTTAAATTTTAAATGTAAAACTTTAAAATTAAATAAATAATCTAGGACGAAACTTCTAAGTAACATCATTTTATACAAGTGCAACTAATCAAAATTTAGCATAATTTACGTTAATCTGTAAGAACTCAAATCACTAGCACCTACAAGTCCAAATAATTGAAAAAAAACAGAGTACAATAACAAAACTGCAGAAAACAAAGTACAATAACTAGAATTTTTTTTAAAAAAAAGAATACTCAAAATTACACAATTGTAGAAAAAAACAGAAAAAAATAACCAGAAACCCAACCATCTTCTGCAACTCTTTCTAGTAGGTTTGACATATTAGAACAAACACCAGCTGGGTATTGACATCTTAGACATATTAGAACAAACACCAACTCTGAGGGAAGACTATAATAATCATAACCAAAGCCTATTCACAAACCACAGCTGGGTATTCATCATCCAAGAACATCAAGAGCAACAAACACTTCGGTTATTTCATAATATCTTCCAAAGCAGGCGGATTAATGGTGAAAGAATCTCAATTCATCTGATAAATAAAAACTATGCTGCTTTATAAAACAGAAATTTAAGCAGATCCCAAACAAACAAACAAAACGAAAGAGGAGGAGAGAAGCATACCGTCCTGGATTTGGGCAGAAGCAAAAGAAGCACAGGAAAAGAACAGAAAAAACCATTAAAAAAAACAGGAAAAAAAAGAGAAACGAAAATTGAAAACTTGAAATTGAAAATTGAAAAAAGTGAAAATTGAAGTAAGCAAAGCAGAGCAGAACGAAATCTGGAAATTGAAAAGAAAAGTGAAAATTGAAGTGGAAAAAAAAAGTGAACGAAAAAAAAGTGAAAATTGAAACAAAAAAGCAGCGAAGGAGAAGATTATCGAAATAGTAAGTAGATGGCGATCGGAATACCTGTCTTGGAGATGGCGATAGGAAGATCGATGTGAAGATGGCGATTGATTTTTGATCCGGTGAAGATGGCGATCGGGTGAAGAGTGGCCGCGGAGAATATCCTTTATTATGGGGCTGTTTGGAAAGTTGGATGGATAAGTGCTGAACCAGTAAGAGGTCTGAATCATTAAGTGCTGAACCAATAAGAGGTCTGAACCATTAAAAGCTAGTATATTGCTTAACTATTCAGAGGCAAATGTCTGATCAATTCAGATAAGAGGTCTTAACCATTTAGACTCTGTATAATACTTAACCATTCAGAGGCAAATCTCTTAACCATTCAGACATCTGAACCATTAAGAGGCTGAAACAAACAGTCTGAATCATTAAGTGCTGAACCATTCAGACATCTGAACCATTAAGAGGCTGAAACAAACAGCCCCTACCTTCATATTTAGCGAATTTGGGGGTCACCCCAAATCTAAACACTCGGTAACCTACCTCCTACAGTCCTACCTCTCGGTTGGTATATTGTATATGGTGGTAGTACTCATTCTGAAATAAAGTAGTATTCATTCTCGTACAAATATAAGCATTCATTTCGAAATACGTAGTACTCATTCTGGCAAAGGTAGTACTCATTTTAAAATAAAGAAGTATTCATTTTTACTCATTTGTCTAATATAATTATAATAAATAGCGCAGTGTTCATTCTTAAAAAAACAATACTCATTCTCAAATAAGGAAATGTTCATTCTGAAATAAAGTATTGTTCAATTTTTTCACAATTAAAAAGTTCAGTACCATCATCAACTTCTTCCTCTATTCGATTCGTTCCTACTCATTTATACTCTCTAAGCATGGAGAATTTAAAACTCGGGTTTATTCATGTTTGTATTAAATAAAAATATGATAATTCTCATAAGTGCTGGTACTCCTTCTCAAATCTGCTGGTACTCATTGTCATACTCCGTATATAATAGTTCTCATATATATATTCTGGGCATTGGATAAAAAGTTTGTAAAATTTACAAAAATACCAGACTGTACCTAAAGGAAGGTACAGCTGGATGTGCCATATAATTTGCCCCTACCTCTCTTGAAATTTTTGTTACCAAAAAAGATAGAATATTAAATCTACCTCCTCCTACCTCCAAACAAACACAACGTTAGGGATTCGTCGCGATGGCCGATAGGCAATATGGAATATCGTTTTATTTTGGGGTGCCTATTTATTTCAAGAAATATTTGCACTAAATAACACTAAAACTTAAGTCATTCTCCTACATAGTAATTAAACTGTTTTATTTTCTAACTAACACTTAATAATGTCCATAATGTTCAGTGATGACGAACATTTACGTGAATAATGACTAATGGATAATGATCAAAAGTGCTACATTAGAAAAAAAACACATGTAATACTATTTAGAGAAAGTCATTATGCTCTAGTGCTATTTAAGTAAATTCCACTTAATTTAAAGTAAAGTAATACACAGTATTTAATCTTGCACAAAATATAAGTATTCATTTTAAAATAATGTAGTATTCATTATGAAATAAGGTAGTATCATTTTCGGTCATTTGTCTAACACAATCACAATTTGAAATAAAATAGTGCTCATTCTCAGATAAATATAGTGCTCGTTCTCAAGTAACGTATAGTTCATTCTCTTTAGATTTGGAAAAATATAATCTTCAATCACAAATCTCCACCATCGACTCGTTCATCGCATAGCATCTTCACCACCATTGATGCGCCATTGCATAACATCTTCATCTTTGCCAGTCTCAACCGTCGGCGTAGGGTTTCATCTTGCATGCAGACGCCACCACCTTCACATGTCGATCGTTGTCGCCTCCTCGCACTAGGGTTTTACCTTCGATCGATTGCAGGTCTCTCATTCATCGACGTCCCCTTCATCGGCATGCATGCCTCTCCTTCCTTTGATCTAATTATTACTAGTTGTACCAAGAAAAACAGTACAACCAGTTATACTGTATAATTTGCATTTGAAATAGATTACAATTTATATGTGTAAAATCTCAAAATGATACACAATAAATATGTTTTTTTTCAAATTAGTCTCTAATACGAACTGATCACTCATGTGGTACTCATCAATTGAAAAGAATACTTAGTTTAGTCTTTCGACTAACGACTATCAAAATCATGTCAAAATAACGTTAAAACTCATTAAATATGAAAAAAGAATTTTAAATTTTATATAATGAGAATATAATAATTAAAACTATTAGTATAAATTAATAATTTTGTAACAAACGTCTTTTTTTGATTATATTATTTAAAAGAATATCATGTAAATAAAGTTTTAATAAACGTTATGTATTTCTTCCACCAGTTTAGAAATTAGTATGAGTTTTAACTTGTATTGTTTAAAAAATTAATATGAGCTTTAACACCATTTTGATGCTATTTTGATTGTCGTTGGTCGGAGGACTAAACGGAGCATTACTTTTATTTAATGAGTACCAATTTGATAATCAGTTCATCTCGAGAATTAATTTAGAAAAACACATAATTATTGAGTATCATTTTGAAAAATTGCTCAATTTATAATCATCTATACAAAAAATGAAGTGTAAAGTTACACTATCATCATATGACATTATCGTGGTATCATTTCAATTAGAGTAGTTACAATGCTCTATACAAAAAAATTGACGATTCTCATTTTCATAAATCTTTAGCACAATTTCACCATACTCACATCTCACTCCCCTACATCCACTTTGGACCGCCAATTTGACGTATTAATGAACTTTCATCCTTACGAATGCATTTCGTTCGTCTACGATTTGATCTCATCGGATCAAATCTAATTTAGTCTGGTATAATTTAATTAAATCTGATATGATCTCCACCTACTCACCATTGACCCAGTTGCCACCGCCTCACAACCCGTTCAAATGTTCTCTATTATCCATAGACCTCTTAAGAAACTTTTTTTCTTATAATAATCGAAATTGATTAAGAAGAAATATTCAAAAACAGAACAATGAAGATGATGTTGAATAAATCTAATGTTGAATAAGTCAGTATTTTTAGTATTTAATCATTTAAATTATATTAATTTTCCTATTCCTTGGGAAGTAGCTCTACACTTTCTATGGCTTTCCTTGTTTTTAGCAAATGCAATTTGTTTCCATTTTCTTTGAATGTACTGCCTACAAATTGGCTTTCCTATAGAGTAATAAATCATTGAAGTCTTTATCTCATTTCATGTATTGCTTTCTAGTGTTCTTACATGTATTACATTAGGTATTTATTCTCATTAAGGTTGTCTACAATCTGTTTGATAAAAGTTTCTAGAGACAAATTTTCCTACAGATGAGGGATGTGATCGATGATGTACTCTAAAATACTCCCTCAATTGGGAGATCACATGACAATCTTTAGAGAACTTTGCTAAACTTATGCCTCCTATCCCACAAGCTTCAAAGTCACAAAACATGGCATTTGGATATAATGGCATTTTAAGAGTCATAGTCATATGTTATCTTATGGTTGGCAATCTCAATAATCACAAAGTAAAGTTGTAAATATTTAGTTTCATGCAAAAAAGCCTGTGTCAGAAGTAGTATGTGTATGTGTAGGATTTAATGGGTTGTCAACAAGTTCACACAATCACACTAACATGCCGTATGAAACTAAAATACGGAGTACTAAAGTACGTTATTTAGAAAGATTTTATTTTCTATAGTTGAAGTTTCAATGATTGAAACTGAAACCAAACGGAAATGATTTGATTGGGGATTTATGTTAGATTTTGATTTTTTTTTGTTTTTTCCAATTCAATTTTTTTGCTAGGACAGTTGGATTTAGACCCGAAATAAAATGACCTGAACTGATTTTGACGTGAAACTCGATTAAAAAATACTGGAATTTGAACATAAATTTTGTTGATTGAATCCAAATGACTCGCTAAAATAGGTTAACCCTGACCAAACCTGAATCTAACCTTTTCGACCTGCTAATATAAAAAAATTTCAAATCATATACATTAATTTTGATTACTCCCTACGTCCCAAATAGTTTGAGACATTTTGAAGGACGTGCAAAATATCATATTTAAATTAAAAGAACCGATCTTACCTCGTTGGTTCGATTTGAAGCTGATGACACTGAATCATAAATATATAATCCCTCCGCCCCTATTTTGATTACAAAATGGGAATTACAATGTAAAATCACATGATTTTTGAAATCATTTTATTCAAATAATACATTAATAATAAAAAAAATTTATATTAAAAAACTATGTCCATAGTTCTACAAAACAAAAAGTGACAAGAATATTTTATTTTTTTAAATAATCAAAAAAATACATAAATAAACAAAAGTTATCGAAAAAAAATAAAATAAAATTGTAATAAAAATGCAAGGAGGGGGAATTATTTTCGGCCCAAACTTAAAGGGGAGTGTATTCAATCAGGATTCTGATGGATTTTTTTGTATTTCAAAAGTCTGTATATATTCAATTCAGATTTGAAATAGTCATTTAGAATCTGGATGTATTCAATTCAAATTTTTACAAATCCTTCTAAATAAGATGGTATTCAAAAGTTGATAAATTTTTAAAAAATTTTCATAATGTAGATTTTGATGGATTTTCATGCTTACAAACCCATACTCCAAATCCGACCAACATCCCAAAGATTTTGATGTAGATTTTGCAGACTTCTCTTTCCCAACTAATCCACATTTCACTCGCTCTTTGCATAAATTGGAATCTCAGAAGCGCGAGTCTGATCTGGAATCGGAGTGCTGCGAGAATGGCGGCGAAGATGATGAGGAAGGAGGCAGCGGTGGTGCAGGGGAACGTGACGGAAGCAAAGCCGGAGGATGCCGCTGCGGCGGTGAAGTCGAACCAGGGGCGGTGGATTTGCGGGCTGTGCGCGGAGGCAAAGATCCGAGAGAAGAACTAGGGGCAGTGGATTTGCGGGCTGTGCGCGGAGGCGGTGAAGGTTCGGCTTCCTTTTTTCTCAGCTCCAGTTTTGTCGTCGACAACCTCACTCGCTGCTCTTTGGCCTCCTTCCATGATGAAGGGCGATTGTGATGGATTGTGATGCAGACCTTTAGACTTTCAAAGAGTAAATTCCATAATTGGTCCTTTATAATAGGGGGATTTCCATATTTAATCCTCTGTTATCAAATATTACCCCTATAGTCCTTTTTTTAAGGGCGCCTTTCCACAAATGGTCCTTTTTTTGATCTTCTGTCATGTTGGTGTTAATTTAAAGGCTAAAAATATAATTTGACATTAACATTATGTCTAGTGACGTGTTCTGATATTGGTTAAGCGGATAACACAAAAATAATGACTATGATTGTGAGTTAGGATTTCAACGAAAGACCACATTTGTAGATTATGGTTGTAGTAGAAAGCGACTATAATTCACAAACGACGCAAACGGAACAGCCTTTGGAATTGTATATGACAAAAAAGATATATTATCATTGTGAAATTACACTTTTAGCCCTCAAATTAACACCAACATGATAGAAGATCAAAAAAAGGATTATTTGTGGAAAGGTACCCATAAAAGAAGGACTACTAGGGTAATATTTGATAATAGAGGACTAAATAGGGAAACCTCCATGTTATAAAGGACCAATTATGGAATTTACTCCTTTCAAAATCTATAAAAAAAGTAGGTCAAACTTTGTATTGAGTCTATGGATTTCTAAATGGACCATGCTACACTTACACCAAAAAATATACCCCATTTGTACACCACAGGTTTGCACAAACATTTCGATGGTTTACACCGACACAAGTGTTGGTGCGTTAATAAAAATTCACACAGACACAAATGTTGGTGGTTTAAAAAAAATTAGTTTTACACCAACAAAAAGTGCTGGTGCAAAACTGCGGGGTACAAACCTTGGGGTACACATATCATAATCCTTTCTAAATCCTTCAACTTTTTACACCCCCTTAGAGCACTGGTAATATCTTTGAAGCCCGGGGCTTCAAACCGGAGCTTTAAAATTTTTTCTCTGTCACGTCAGCTTTAACTTACACCAAAAATTCACTGGAAATGGGTTTGAAGCCCCGTGGCTTCAAACCTTTATTTTTACATTTTTAAATATACATCTTCTAAATTTAAATTAATAAATTTAAATTAATTTATTATTTAATAATATTGAAACACGAATACAAAAAAATACATTCATTAAAAAAAAAAACGACAATATTAAAAAAGATATATTAATTAAAAAAACTAAGGTAAATTATATTTCGCCTTGATCTCTCTTTGTCTTTGCTCGTATATCATACGTTTGAAACCCGATAACGTAGAAAGGTCAGTTTCCATGATTTTAAATAAAAAAAATTACATTCATTAAATAAAAAAATTGCATGCATTATAAAAAAACTACATTAATTAAATAAAAACATTACATTCATTAAATAAAAAAATTACATTCATGAAAAAATAAATAAAATACTTGAATAATAATTTTTTTTAAAAAAATGATAGATAGAGAGAAATTTGTATTTGTGTTGAATTTTTTAAAAAAATTAAATTTAATTTATAGAGAAGAAAAGAAGAAAAAAGAGGGAGAAAAAGGAAGGAAGAAGGCGTGATAATGCCTTCAAACCGCGTCAAACCTTTAACGCAAGTATTTTAACGTCCTTTTAACGGGGGAATGGGGCGGTGTTTCACGCCCCCCAAGCGTCAAAACTCGCCTAACGCCCCTTGGCGTTAGCAGTATTTCCACTGCTCTTAGTTGGAGTAAACCTAATTTATGTGAAATGTGGGAGTGGGAGCATGGGACGGACTACGGAGTACTTTATTATTCCCCTGTCTTAAAACTTTCTTCCCACTTTCCCTTTTTCTCCGTCCTAAAACTACTTTCCCATTAGAAAAAAAAGATGACAAATGACATTAATACCCTTATGTATTTACATCAATTATCTTCTAGCTCTATATTTTGAATGATTATGAAAAAAATTTCAAGAAATCTTTTTTAACGAGGGTAAAATTTGAAGTCAAAGCTAAAAATTAAAAATGGGAAAAGTCAAACTGGGAAAAAAGAATTAGAACGGAGGGAGTATTTTATTTCCTTGGGATTTTACAGACATTATGATCTGCGGAAGAGGCCAGAGAGAACGGGCGCGGAGGAGCTAGGGTTCCCGGTCAAGGAACCACCTCCCACGAGCAGCGCCAAAGTCAAACCGACTCAAACGTCACCCCAGCGAGTCACACACTCCAAACCTCAGGCACCTGTCCATTAATGGCAACAGAAGGAATCGAGGGACAACGACGAGATGAAGAAGGCTACGGCGTGCTCTTGTACTACAAATACGCCATCTTCCCCGATCTCGAACAACTCCTTAACTTCTACAGATCAAACTGAGCCTCTCTTTCCCTCGTTGGCCGCATCCGCCTCTCTTCCCACGGCGTCAATGTCACCGTAATCTCCCCGGATTCTCTACGTATTTTCATATTCAGAGAAGAATATAAACTTCAAATAGTTTCTCAATAGATTTATGATATGGCACTTGCATTGCTTTTGAAACATTCATTCTACTTTAGCTGTTCTTTGCGTAGGAGTGACGCTCTTAAAAACATTTTAATGTTATTTTTCGATTTTCCCTATCGATATGAAGCATTTTTATGAGGTATATAGCACTATCGACACTCCGCATTTGTATCCCTAGAGTGAGAGTGTCATCTGATTTATTTCTCTCTCCGTCCATTTTTAATGTTCGTATTTTCCTTTTTAGTCCGTCCATAAATAATGTCCGTGTTTCCATTTTTGGTAATCTTTTTTACACCAAAAGACCTAATTATCCTTTATTCCTATCCTCTTTTTTTCTTTTCCTCCACACTAGGGATGTAAATAAATCAAATATTTTAAATTCGATTCGCGATTTGTATTCGAATATGATGATTCGAATTCGCGTTATTCAAATTCAAATATTATTTTTGATTCGAATATTAATCAAATACAAATACAAATAGGGATATATTCGATTCGGATGATATTCAAATATTCGAATATATGTATATATACACAGACCATGTTTTCAACATCAAGAGTCAAGCAAAGTAATATAGTATAAAGTGTATTTAAAATACTAAGAATTCAATAAATTAACATAACACGAAAATCTAAAGCATATTATTTTTAATAGTTATATTTTTATAAAATATAATTTGTGTAAGATGCAGATGTATTAATGTTTTTATATACCGAATATAGTATAGTATAAAGAGTTCCGTAAGTTAAATTACAAATTGATGTTAGTCCATCATATAAATTACATAGTATGATTATTCAAATATTCGTTTTTGATTCGATAACTATTCGAATATTAATCAAATACTTATTCAAATCTTATTTTGAATTCGTCTCATATTCGGATTCGTATTCGAAAAAATTAAACAAATACAAATTCAAATATATCGGTATTCGCTTCGATTCGGTTCGTTTACACCCCTACTCCACACTCCACCCCAGCCCACACAACCTCTTTTTTTCTTCTTTTTTCTTCTCTTTTCTTCTTTCCTTCTTCTTTCTTCTTTCCTTCTCGGCTTCTCCACTTCGGTCCTTTTTTTTGCCCAGGTTTCTTCCTCTTCTCTCTTCCCTTCTTTTCTCAGGTTTCTTCCTCTTCTCTCTTCTCTTCTTCCTCCTCCTCCTCCTCCTCCTCCTCCTTGTTCTTCTTCGGATTCTTCTTCTTATTCTTCTTCTTTCTTCGGATTCGTTGTCTTCTCCTTCGGATTCTTCATCTTTCCTTCGGATTCTTCGGATTCTTCGTCTTCTTCTTCGAATTCTTCATTTTCTTCTTCGGATTATTCAGATTTGGCCCAGATCTTAGAAATATAATTCAGATCTATGAAGGGGATGGAAGATGTCAGGGCTTAGATCTTAGAATATTATTCGGATTCTTCATTTTCTGCGATGGATTGCCGGAACATGTCTGATTTTGGATGATAGGGTTGGGCGGCGGGGCTATGCTGGCGATGGAAGACGTCGGATCGGCCTGGACATTGAGGGGAGTGGGCGACGGTATCGTGGGGAGGAAATTGGGGAGGGTATAATTGGAAAGTCAATGTAAAATTTAAGTTAAAAATTTCTGTCATCTGATAAACTTATCATGCAATGTGAGTAGTCTGGGAGTTGGGACATCTTTGATTCTTTGTTACATTCAGGTTGGGGGGAAATTGTCTGCTTTAAAGGAGCACATTGCTGCAGGGAAGCTGAATAAGTTGTTTGAAGGGACGGATTTCAAGCTTGCATCTTGTCATGAACCCTTGAACGATAGGATTGCTAAAGAATGAGGATTCACTACTCTATCCATACGCATAGTTGAGGTAACTCACATTTTTGTTGGAGCTATACTTCCTCTGCTGTTGTAAAGTGTATTGTTGATTGTGATTCTCTTTATTTATTGTACAGGAATTGGTAACTTTGAGTTCCTTTCCGCTGGCAAAGTCTCCAGAAGTTTCAAATGCCGGAACACATCTTTCTGCAGCTGAATTTCATTCTGTGCTTAGTGATGCCGGTATGTACTCACACACCATAAATGTGTAACTTGTGTGGGTGTGCTTTTTAAAAGGAAAAAAAAATACAAGATCAGTCTTCCAATGTTCCTATGTTTTCTATTTTTGGCCCCTAACCTTCATTTTTATATAACATTTTAACTTTAAACTGTGTACTAAGATCCTTCCGCTTAGGAAATGTGTCTTTCTGAATGGGGTTTCACATGTATTCTGATTCTTGAAATGGAATCCACCAAGGGTGTGTACTGTGTATTGATCAGCGATTTGGAGCATGATTTGCAGTTTGAAAACCAGTAATTCAACTGGTCAAACAGGGTACATCATTTTTAGGATGTAGGGAGTTTGTAATAATGTATGTACATGACGCTCGAGTAGGTTGCTTGTCTGGTTTACTTTTTAGTACCTGGTTTTGAGTGCCAAAACATTTAGACACACACTCAAATGCATAAATGTCAGGGCATAGTAATAGCTCCAAACAAGATATAGTTGTGTGAAAAAGTAAGAAAGTTAATCCATTTTGATGTACAAAAGATTATGAAGACTGTTCATATGATAATTAATGGCATTGATAATCCACGAGCATTTTGTGGACCATAGTTTTGCAGTCTTACTCCTATAAAAACAGAAACACTGTTTCCATTACACCATAGATGCATTGCTGCATTTTTTGTCCAAAACATCAGAGGGTAGGAAACAATGGAAGTTTAATGTGCATGTCTTATTTAGCCCATTATGTGTCCAAATCTAAAGCACATTTTCAATGATGACTCTTTTAGCTCCATTGTTCTAAAAATCGCTAGGCAGTGCCAGGCAGAGCATAG